ATGATGTTCTGGACTCTGTGAGGTCCAGAACTTTTATTAAACCACAAAGAAAATTGAACCTACAAAAAAAAAAAATCCAATAAAGAACTTTATTTCCACAAAAGAGCTTCAAATAAAAAAATAAAATAAAATAACTAAATTATTAAATAACTCTCCCCATTTTGAAAAATAAAAAGACATGAAAAATGAACATTTAACAAGCAAAAATCACACCTTTCATTTTTAATAGTATTTTTAAGAATCCCTAATAGCAGCAGCTCTCAAAACTGTTATTTTTAGTTGAGCAAGAAATGCTTTTCTACTACTTTTTGAAGTAGAGCCTCAAAATATGACAGGCTATGACAGTGAAGCTGGCATTGATTTAGGAGACCTGTTTTGCAGCTTAATATGAGTTTTTTTTTTTTCTTTCTTTTTTGTGAAAATAAAAATGGAAATGGGATTCCTTAGTTTTTCAGACATGCTGGTTAAATCTCTTGCTGTATAGAGTATATCCTGGCTCATACAGGGCAGCATTCATGCATGAACTTTAACTTTGCAGAGTAATATGCTAAACTTTAGTGTCTCCTTTTTGAAAATTCAACTCCACAGATTTCAAAACCAGATTTTTTTTATTAACAGCATTTGCTATCTGCTCCTTGATGTGTTGTGAACCTGCCTCACCTCTGTCAAAATGATTTGTAGAAGATGTGTCCAGGCTTAGCCAGCAGGGGAACATGGGCCCACTTCCTGATCTATTAGCCCACTCCTGAATAATATCATTTTAAAATCCACACCTGCTCCAGGTGCTCATTTTTTTTTGACAAGATATGTGAGTTTGTTGGTGCTTTGAAATGCAGCAGAAACCAGGACACCGCTCCTCTGATACAGACAAGATACAGTATGTTTGGTGGTGTCAACTCATCCTGTGTGCTGGCAGATTGTCTCATCCCACTCAGTGTCTGACTGACAACAACAATTCCTCCCCGTCTCATTGGCAGAAGTGTGGAAGTCTAACAGTCTACAAGGACGGTTGTTGTGGGACTACATACGGGTGTTTTTCTTTTTTCTTTTTTTCCTATATAGAAGCTTTTCCTCCCTCTTCTCCGGTGAGAAAATCTTTTCTGGTAGAACCTGTGCAAGAGAAAGACTAAAATGACTCACATCGGTTGCAGATTCCTTAAACTCCCCTTCACTCCCATCTTATCCAAGCCCTCAGCACATTGGTTCTCTGCAGAGCAGACGCCTGCTGAATCCTGAGCATCGCTGCAGTGTATTTAAGAAACTGATCACAGCTCATGGGGGAACCCCTACCTCAACCCATTTCACCCAGCATGTCTCTCTACTGTCTCTTTGGTCAAGCTTTTTTTTTTCTTATAGTTATTACTCGCACTCTCAGTTCCAACTTTAGCCTTCAAATTTCATATTCAGACACTTTGATCAGTTTAGTGTGATGCATATCATCACACAAGTTCTCTCACACAGCCGGAGGCCAACGTCATTATTATCAATCAAAACACAGCATTGCAACACGCCAACCTCCATCTGCAGCCTTCTTAATTATATGTCAAAGTCCTGCAGGCTTCAAAGGACCCGTGTGTCTTTGAATGAGGGGCTGTGTCTGCGCTTTCTTCCTGACTGCATTCTACGACTTAAACTTAGACATGCAACTCTTAGATTTATTCACCCTCAGTCAGCTCTGTCTGCATTAGACTTATTTTTCTCTTCTTATTTTCTTCCTTTGATGTCAGGTTTCCTTAACAGGCTGATTTCCACAGACGTCTGCCTCACTCTTCCACTCTTGCCAACCAAAAGGGAGGGAAAGGGGTTTAAAACATCAGCTGGTAGCTGGATGAGGATCTCCTTTGGGGGCTAAAGAGAGAGATACTGATGTGATACAAGCATGTGGTGTCACAGTGGAGAACAGAAAGTAGCACAGTCTTTCTTTTCTTCATTCGTGACAAATAAAAGGTCCTGCTTGTACAATAAAACTGCTCCTTTGATGTAACACTAATTAGGAAAGGAATAAAATTGGAAAGAAAATCTTGCTAATTTGAAAAGAAAAGAGGATTAGCAGGAGCACATTATAGCTATTATCTATTCACACTGCATTTTAGTAATTAACAGTAATAAAAGAAAATAAGAACAAGAATAAGAAACAATATTTTAGGCCAAATTAATACTGAGAGGTTTTTTTCCTTTTGTAACACAACTGGAAAAATGAATTGCATTGATGGAAGGAATGTAGAAAACCCCAGAAGATAAACAACTGCAGATCAGAGTGAGAACATTAAAAAAATGCATTACCAAAAATGTGAGGGGGATTTCTGTCTTCATATGATGTTTGTTTAGAGCTGCAAATGTTACTCGACCTTTTGACAAAAACAACATTCATTTTTCCTTTGTCTTTAAAGAGAGATCATTTGATTTGTTGGTTTTATTTTATTTATTTTTTATCGTTGTTATCTAAGGCTTTAATAAACAGAAAAGCAAAAAATAAGGATCGACGTGTTTTCTTTGATAGGATGTTAAAATAAATAGGAAAGCAGCAAAAAAAAAAAAGAAAATGGTATTTCCCGTATGAAAAGGAAGATGGATATAAACAGATGTCACTTCTACTTTTATTGTCATCCTTATGAAAAATAAAAATCTAATGCAAATGGTTGTACGCCCAAGGAACACCAAATATCTCATTAAATGAAAATCTGTTAGAGGTGCTCACTGAAGGTGTTTCTCCCCAATCAGCAGAAGACATTCAGACACTGTTTTTTAGACTAAATCTGGTCGGTCCGTCAAAGTCTTGATTTAGTCATGAAATAGTTGTTGAAAATTGGGCTGTATTTTTTCGGTCAGATTGTGTCCCACTTTAGTCCAATAATAGACGTTGAAAACGTCTCAAACCCATTTTTCAACATCTTTTCAACAATCTGCAAGTTACGACCTTTCAACCAAATGTAGTCATTTGGTCTTTTCAACCAATTATTTTCTGTGTGCGTAATATCTTTTATTTAATATGTAACAAAAAGGTTAATGAAAAGATCAGTCATCATATTTTTGCTTTTTTTTTGCATTACTTTATAATCTGTCAACAGATACAGTCTGAAGTTTAAATCCTAGAGAGTTCTAGAAATGTCTTTCTGGCTAGTGGTTACCTGTATGGAGCTGGAGGAAGGCAGGAAATAAAACCACATGAATCCAGGATGCAGGAGGTGATGACTCTCTGGGTCGAGTTTTATTTTCGGAATAGTAATAAATGATTAGTCGTGGTCCACCTTTTCTTTGTGATTTATCTTCAGCTTACACAAAAAAAAATGAAACCAGAAAACAGGATTTGGAGAAATGTCAGATACACCGAACTTCTGTTTTTATTTTATTTAATAGCAAACTTTGGATGTTTGAGAAAGCAGCAGTCTGTGCTACAGATTCTTCTGATATTTTACAAGGCATTGAAAATGTCAGCTTCTGTGAGATTTCCCATCAGGACTGAGCCAGCACAGTTTTACTGCAGCACCCAGAGGTTTCCCACCTGTTGAAGATTTCTTTACAGTCAAGGAAGAAATCCCAAATCCCTCAGCCTCTATATGCAGGAGCTCTTCCTTTTAATTTTCTTCAGTTTGTATTACTGTGTGCTTTAGAACCTTTTATAGCTTTAAATATATCTTTTTAAAATCCCATGTTACCACCCACCTGTCTAATGTTCATCTGATTTAAAGATCCTGTTACTGGTGTGTGGAGCTCTTAATTGTCTGACACTAAATTGCACATTGACATGCATCCGATTTATCATCCCAGCAGCTTTCTCGGGTTACTAGACAGATGGATCCTTTAAATTCCCAAAGCTGATTGAAAATCTGTTGGTAGAAATCAGTGTTCATGCAAAAATAAAGCCCAGAACAGCATGCAAGCTCATCTTAGACTCAGAGCATTTATTTTAGCATCCAATATTAAACTTTCTGCAGAAAGGATTCGCCATACTATCGTTTGAATCATGTTGGAGAGGAATTTTAATGTATTTTGCTCATTATTTCAACATTCGAATAAAAATGTCATAGCTGCTCCAAATTCAGGAGATTCCTATTTTGCCTTCTGACATGAGGGACTACAACTGCTAAACTTGTTCTCAATTCTGTCTTATTTATGTCTTTACTTTCTGTTAAAGACTTTCCTGCTGGATCTTTGCATAAGACTGAGCCAGATACAGAAAATATTTTACACACAATTGTTGATTTGTGATTTTTTTTTATTTACCTTAAAAACTCCTTGAAGATTTCTTTCCTAGCTCAGTTGTTTCTCTTAAGATCTTGCAGATTAGAGTAATGATGCAGTAAAATATGCAAGCATGGACATTTCTCTTGCTTTAACCTCACCAAAAAACCCATAACTCTAAAGCAATGCCTGCAGGACACCGAGTCATTATAGGTCATCCTGTAGCATGATGGACGTTTAAGGTGGACAGACTAGAAGTTTCTTGTTGATTGAGATTGCAGGACAGATATTTTTTGACCCAACGGGTGAGTGTGAAGGAAAACAGAAAAAATCTGCTGCAGACTATTTTCAAACTGAGCAGTAGACAAAGAAAAACCAAGTGTCTGTGTGTGTTAGGGGGTCAAGACAGATCGGTTGTGAGAAAAGTGTAAATAACTTATTTAATCATAAATTATTTTATGATTAAACAGACTCCTGGTTTAAATCTCTGGGTCTTGTTCACAAGTGAAGGACGGGTGGAGCATGGGATCGATAGAGGGATTGGTGCGGCATCTGCAGTGATGTGGTCGCTGTATAGGACTGTCGTGGTGAAGAGGTAGCTGAGTCTGGGGGGCAAAGCTCTTGATTTAGCGATCAATCTACGTTCCCACTGTCACCTATGGTCATGAGATCTGGGTAATGACCGAAAGGACAAGGTCCCGAATACAAGCGGCTGAAATGAGTTTCCTTCGCAGGCTGGCTGGGTGCACCCTTCGCGAGCCGGTGAGGAGCTCTGTTACCTGGGAGGAGCTCAGAGTAGAGTCATTTCTCTTCCACGTCGAAAGGAGCCAGCTGATGTGGCTTGGGTATGTGTTCCGGATGCCTCCTGGTCGTCTCCCTCGGGAGGTGTTCCATGCATGTCCTATTGGGAGGAGGCCTCGTGGAAGGCCCAGGACGCGCTGAAGGAACCATCTCTCTGAGTTGGCTTGGTGTCGCCTCGGGGTCCCCCTGGAACAGATTGAAGAGGCGTGTGTGGATCAGGAAGTCTGGGCATCTCTGCTTAGATTGCTGCCTCCGCAACCCGGAAAAGTTGAGGAAAATAAAATGGAATGAAACTCTTTGTCAAAACAAACATGAATTATTTTTTTATTCTACTGCAGCGTCTTCATTTAAACAAATCTAATTTCATTCCTACAATTTGGGCAATTTCATATTTAATGGAAACACAGCAACTGCCAGATATGTAGGATTAATAAATTGCTTAACTAGAGCCTATCTGACAGCAGGAAGCAGGCAGATAGATCTCGAAAACAGAATGCCTCACTCCGAACATCAGACCACAGCTCCCTCGGTTTTCTCTACAGACCCATCAACCTTCAGCAGCTCAGTAAGAACTACTCAGATCACTCATTCATTATGATTTTTGTATGAACTGTTCCTGCAGCTAAAGAGCAGAAGTCGTTCCTCCATGCTTTCATCATTAGTTTCTTTTCCATCTAATTCTTTGCTTCATGTCATCCAGACAAATCCAAGGTATTTTTTTTCTGCCTTCATTTCCCCAATTCCAGATTTTTGTATCTTCCTCATTATATCTGCTTCTAAAGCATGGAATAAGCCAGTCTGGGATTAAATTATCTCCCACTTTGATGTAAATTTAGTTTGGCACAACTTAAATAGATTTATATTTATTGAAATTAAATATTAATCAGTGATTTTTTTTAAACAAACAACAAAGTATTTAACAAATTATTTAAATTCAATTTAGCTTTATTGTTATGAACGTTTCTTTTCTTCCACAATGCTCTGGGCTTTCTGGAGGTCTGCTGATGGTGATCTGTATCCTTTGACTTTTGCTGCTTCTTCATTCTCTAAGTTAAACCACTTCAGCTTCTTTGGTTTATTGAATCACTTAACTCCAACCTTTGAATCATTCTGGCTCCTGAATCTGAGAGATAAACAACTAGTGCTTCCCTCACTGAGGCACAAATAAAGGATTGTTTTACAACTAAATTGACTCTATATGCATTGCCTGCCACTATGACATAAAGAAATTCAAAAGAAAACGTAATTCGACAGGCAGATAACAGGATTTTAGGTTTAAGGGTGATGCATCGCTCTGGTCTGGTGTCAGACAAGATTTTTTTTACTTGTTTCCTAAAAAGCAGCACTTTGAGATAAAGTACAGTCTATCTGCTATAACTCTATTTTAGACCAGACAGCTTTTGTTTTTTCTACCATCCCCTATTGCTCAGCATCCTCTGCATAACATATTGCCACAGGTCAGGTGGTTAAAGAACTAGATTGGAAAAAAATAATTGTTTAAAAACTGGCTAGAATCCAATAGAGGACTTAAACACCTCCAGGTCTGTGGAAGTATTGATTAAATCTACTTCAGGATATTATAAAAACAGGTTTAAACCTGTTTTAAGACTTTTAGACAATACCATATCTGCATTGGGAAGGATTTATGAGGTCAGGACAGAAAAGATATTGTATATTTATGCACCTTGGTCCTGTTGAGTCACGCGTCTGGTCCAGAAGGCTTTGTCACGCCCCAGCTCCGCCTGCAGCTCTTGGTCTCTTACTCAGGAGCAGTGAGCTGCAGAGTGTCACTGCCAAACACAGCAGGCACATGAGAGCCCCAGCCACACACACACACACACACACACACACACACACACACACACACACACACACACACACACACACACACACACACACACACACACACACACACACCCACACACACATCAAACAGGGGGAACGTGGCAAACGCATTGATCTGACACTGGTTCACCTCAATCATTGGAACTCTTGTTCCATTTCTGATTGAATCAAGAAAATAACGGATGTATGTCTGCAGCACCCACACCCTCTGGAGCAGAAAATTCAGTGTATAATTATCACTTGAGGTGAATTTGCTTACTCATCTCCTCCTCTGCAGATAAATGTAAAGCTGCAGACTTATTGCACACCTTGTTCCCATCGGTTCAGCTGAGTTGGACAGGTGGTGCCGGACAGTCAGTGGGCAGGGCTCCTTCCTATAGCTCCCTGCGCTGGCATCCTCTTCTTCGCTGCACTTTCACCGCCCACGCACACGGGCTGGCGTGAAGCCGAGCGCTCCTCTACAGCCCTCCACGGTATGCAAACATATTTTGACTGTGAAACATTTAAAACCTGCAGGGACAAGGTCGCAGAAGAGAAAGGTGAAACAGGGGCCAAAGCCCCAAGGGTTGAAGAACTAATCACTGTCTTGCTAAATGGATATTAAACCAGGTTTTCTGTGAAGGTCCTTAGAGAATTAGCACTCGAAAAAAGAGATTTTTTTCCAAAAGCTACCTAGTAAAGATATGAATAAAAGAAGAATATTCTCTGGTCATATAAGACCAACGTTTAGAATTTTTGGTATTTTAAAATCAATGTTTCTCACACACTGAATCCTCCAGTCACACAGTGACACACGGCAGTGGCTATGGGAGTGCTTCTCTACAGAGAGACAGGAAAGCTGGTCATGCAAATGGAAATGGGGCAGCCTAGTCAAATTAAAGTTGGTGTTTTCGGAAACTTTTTCAGATCTGTATTTTAAAGAAGTTCAAAAATATCCAGCCTGTCAACCACTGACCCGTCACCTAAGATCCCAACAGAGTAAAAAAAAAAGGTAAGGGTTTCAATGTGAAAACTGGAAACATTCTTGGTAAATTATTGGTCTTCATTTTTCAATAAACAAAAATAAATAAAAAGCAAATATTCTGGTCCTTATTACACAGAGGCTGATGCTAAACATGTTTTTGTTCTGTTAATTTTCACACACAAAAAAAAACACACTGCAGCATGAACTTCCCATTGGAAGGTTGCATGTCCTCCATGCTTTCTCTCTTGGTACTCCATCGTTCTCCCAAATCTAAAAGATGACTGTTAGGTTAATTAGTTAATCTAAATATTTTTTAGGTGTGTCTGTGAGTGTGGCAGTGTGTCTCTGTGTTGTCCTGTGATGGACTGGCGACCTGTTCAGGGTCACCTCTGCGTTTTCAGAGAGAGACACCAGCGCTCCCCTGACCCTAATAGATAAGCTGCAGATAAAGGATGGAAGGAAAGATGGACGGAGGGATCTTTACTGGTTCTAAGGTTCTAAATTGTCTTAAATCGGCAAGCCATTAGGTGTACCTGTTCAAAGTGGAGATGGTTAAACGTCAATATGAACTGAATCTGTGTAGGCCAAGAAAGAAGACTCTGCTCTAAAGCTGCTCTTACTGAAAAAAAAAAAAAAAAACTTCTGGAGATTTGAAGTTTTATTGATGGATGAGAAAAAGATTCAGTTGTTTCTTTCACACTGAGAAGAAGCATTTGTAAAGAAGCCAGGTAAAGGTTGTCCAGCATAATGCTGTGGGGGTGTTTTGCTGATGGTGATCCTGGTGCACTGTAAGGGAATAAAATAATGAAGATGAAGGTCTACCTTCTTAAACCCATTCAGATGGTTGAAGCCTCCAGGGAAATAGCTGTTGTTACGGTTCACTTTGACTTTATTTTCCCAGACGAGCTGTTTACTGCTCATTCAGCAGTCACGCATAAAAAAAAATAATACATTTAACAACCTCATTAAATACAATCTTTTAGCACTAAAACCGGTCAGTGGGTGTTGGAATTTATCAGTCTGACTGAGGGGGCAATAAAAGATTTCCTTAATTGCTTTTACAGAGTTGCATTAAACATCATCTTCAGCTTTAAGAAAAGTTGAAACTCAGCCCACATTAGAGGGGATAGGATAAACTAATCCCAGCTCTCTGTGATGACATAACATTATACAGGTCACAAAGAATGTCAAGCGGTACACTAGAAATGTTTCTATGTATATCAGTAAAATCAGAGGACACTGGTTCAGAATACTCAAACATACCTGGACTGGCTTTCTCACAGGTTTGATTTCAATCATTGTATAAAAATACATTTGAAAAGGAATAAAAAGCAACAGTTAAACGGTTCAAGATCCATGCAGAACTGTGCAATGATCTAGGTGCTCATATAAGGTCAGAGGGTCAGAAAAAAACTAGGATTTGCTTTTAATTAACATGAAAATGAGTTCTGATGTATTTTTTAGGTAAAACAACCCACCTTCCAGCACTCGCTTCACAGGCCAGAAAAGGTGGAAACCTTTCAGAGAGCTCCAGACATTGAGATGTTCTCCAAGGATAATCTTTCAATCCACCTCTCCAGACACCTCCTCGTCCTGATTATCTCCTCACCTTGTCTGTTAGGCTGAGCCCATCTGAGGAAGCTTCTTTCAGCTGCTTGTGTTCTGGATCTCAAATATATAAAATTTCTCCAAAACAGTTCAGGTCTTTCAGATTTTTTCCTTGATCTGATTAGTGTTTCCTCACAGCTGTAGATGTCGTGGTTCAGGGCCTTTAAAGTTGTTTTTTGCAGACATGATTTTTGTTGTTTCTAGTCTATACTGACACAAACATTAAAGCCACTGCTGCATATTCCGGTTAAAGATCATAAGAGCAGAAATATTCTCATCCATAATTCACACCGAGAGGTTAATTGACAGGTCTTGAGTGTAATTCGTGTGGAAAATGCATTGAATTTCAGATGAGCGACAGCGATGAATGACTGGGGCATTTTTACCTCTCATCTTCAGGGCGTTGATGATAAAGAAACTGCAGCCAGGCATGAATCCCATCAGGACAGCTACAGAGCTTCAGCTGATATCAGATCTATGGCTGTCATTAACTGACCCTACTTTACAGAGAGAAAAGGAGGGAACGAAAACCACATTTCTGGACCAGAGCGACTGTGGATACATCTTATTATGAGACACAATGGAACATGATTAGGTGTTAGTGCTGGAGCTGTGATTTAACACAAATGTTGCCACCTTCAGCAAGCGACATGTTTGGTATTTTAAGCAGGGCTTCCTCTGCTGCGAGGCTGAGGCGGGGAAGGTCAAACATCATTTCGGGAAAGACAGTTGCATTTAAAACAATTCAACCCTCATTACAAACTGGGTTTACTGCGAATTAAACAAACGAGCTGCATTGTACATTAGATAAATTAATAAGAATATTTATAATCTATCTGATATTTCTAGGTTGTGTCTCCAAATTCAACAAAAAAGGAGGTTATTAAATACTGCAGACACAAAATAATTCCCCCCCTTTAAGCAGATGAAGATCTCATTTTGTTATATAAACATGTATCATAGGCAGACACCAGCTTCTAACATAGTTTCTGAGATCTCTGTCTCATTCTTTATGGGTGAATGTTCTTGAGTTTTTGTTCTGCAGATTCATTCTGAAGCCATCGTAGATCTTCAGTATCATGGCAAGTTTAGTATGTTTCATAACTTCTTGTGAGAGGAAGCCTTGCTGTCCTTAGGAACTGTTTTGGATCAGTGTCCCTTTAGAAAGTCCAAGCATCAGCTTCCTTACAATAGGAATTACATTTGTCCCACTTCATAGAATCCACCCTGCAGTCCATAAACTGCAGGTTTTCATTCCTGGATGAAGCAAAAGAGCCACAAGAACATTGCTTCTCTGTGAGCCAGGTTTCCTTTCACTTCATAGTTCCATCTCCAATAAAACTACTGAACCACTGGCTTGATATTCCTTCACAAAATATGATCCCAAACCACTTTAGGATAATGTATCTGTATCATTATGAGGAAAAAGGTGCTTTTTATTTTAACCCAGCCGTGTTGCTCATGTCTGAATTCTTTCCGTTTTTATTGAGCTTTCTAAGGAAGCTGAAGCTGCACTAGTTGAGTTTCCAATACAAATGTGTGGCATTTCCTTTGCATAAGGACTAACATTTAAATAGCATGTGAATAAGTTTGTTTAAGCAATAATAAAAAAAAAAAAAACATGGCATAGCAGATGTAAAACACGTGCGATATGTCCATTTCAACCATGGCTCAAGCAGTCGTAGTCACTGAACTGAGTGTTAAAAATAATCCCGATGAATCCAACTATTCTGTCCATCATCCTCCAACTTCCGGTCCTTTTTGTCTTTTTGCAAGCCAGTAATGTCCAGTTGCAGATCATGTGTTTAATGCGATGCAAACAAGTGTTTCCATTGCAGTTTTGCAAATAAATCCGATGCAACCAAAAAAACTACCCCATCAAAGCGTAAAAATAGTTTTTGTCAAAAAAAAAACATGACATTTTTAGAAATTGCAGCGTTTCCATTTTGCTAATTTTTTTTCGTAGTTACAGTTTGCACAATTGGATGGTTAATGGAAATGCAGCCACTGGCTGCTGCAGGTCTTAAACAGTCAGAGGAATCTGGTGGTAAAAATACATGTTTTTTTTTTTATTTTCAGCTCACAAACTGGATTCCTTCAACAAGCACAGCATGAGCACAGCATGATGCATGAACACAGTTTGTTCATGCATCATGTTCCTCATTTGTGTGACAAAAGTTGTGTCTTCTGTGATCTTTGTGGACAAGTGACAAACTTTTTTTTAAGATGTTGTGAAAAACAACCACCAACACTCCTGGTTTCTGAGGTGTTAAAGCCCAACTAAGACCAAATGTGAATGTTTTTCTTTTTTGTGACTGACAGTTTTATTTAACGACTTAAACCTTGAATTTTCTAAATGTTTTCCCTTAGCCTGATTAGCAGCAGGGGAAGATGAACCTTAAACCTGCTGACATGCTTATGAGGAGGTCAACTTTAATGATCAACAGTAGCTTCCATAAGGAAAGATAGGAGCTTTAAATGTTTCTATCATCCTCCACTGACTGCAGGTTTGTGGTGATTAAACCCTTTCATTACCCGTTCCTGTGCTACAACAAACGTCCCAAACAGGATTAAGTTGAAGTGTGAAACACAACCACTTCTGATGCTACGGTCCTTTGAAAATCTGCTCACAATTAGAGGGGCTGCAGCGCTTCAGGGTAGGATTTGTGAACAAAGAGATGGGGGGTTACTGAGTGAAGAATACAAACTCTTCCCCTCCCTGAACTACTTTCTGTGCCATCCACAGCTCAGCTCCTGGCATGGCATGAGCTTTTCCATCGCTCATGCCGCGTTGTTTGTGTCCTGGTGAGTTAGTGTTACAGAGCTGCTTCGTTTGAGC